GTAATCGTAGTCGTAGTCGTAGTCGTAGTCGTAATAATAGTAGTTGTCGTAGTAGTAGTCGTAGTATTAGTGGTAGTAGTAGTAGTAGTAGTAGTAGTAGTAGTAGTAGTAGTAGTAGTAGTAGTAGTAGTAGTAGTAGTAGTAGTGGCTGTAGTAGTGGCTGCAGTAGTAGTAGTAGTAGTAGTAGTAGTAGTAGTAGTAGTAGTAGTAGTAGTAGTAGTCGTAGTAGTAGCAGTAGTATTCGTATTCGTAATCGTAGTAGTAGTAGTAGTAGTAGTAGTAGTAGTAGTAGTAGTAGTAGTAGTAGTAGTAGTAGTGGTAGTGATACTGTGTGTAGTAGGTGTAGCAGTGATAGTACTGGAAATACTTGTCGTGGCGGTGGTCGTAATCGTATCTATAGTGATTGGATGGGGGGATGGGGTGATGAGGGACGGAGAAGGGAGGATGGGGGGAGAAGGGAGGATTCAGGGAGGATGAGCCGGGGAGGAAGATGCGGAGGAGGGAGAGATGGGTTGTGCGGGCGGTGGACGTCTTGCCTGCGGGGCCATGGACAGATGGGGGCCGTGAACCTTTTCTCTTCCGAACTCGCCCTTGCCCTGGAGGGGTGCAGAGAATGATGATGATGATGATGATGATGATGATGATGATGATGATGATGATGATGAGGGGGAGGAGGGGGGGGGGAGGTAGGTCACGGAGGACGGGGGGAACTTTCGCGTCATGCTTCGATTGGCAGTAGGAGGAGGAGGGAGGAGGAGGAACGCAGCGCCTCAGGAAGGTCTCCCGCCGCGCACGCGGGCGCGCGACGGACTACGCCCTGGCGCCGCCTACTCACGGCACGGTGCCGTAAGAGCAGGAAGCAATGTAGAAGGAAAGCAACTGGAAGAAGTCGCCCTCAAGGCCGTGGACGCAGGCCAACTTGCCGCCGACGAAGGAGGCGTCGCCACGACCTCCAGGAATAACAGAAATCACGACGGTGGTTTCCCACACACAAGGCGAAAACGACACCACCACCAGCGCGAGGAGCCAAGGGAGGCTCTCCTACTGGTGTGGTCTCTCCCTTCGCCGCTCAGGACATCTCTGGCCTCCAGCTTGGCACGGCATCGTGGACCTCCACCCCTCACACGTTTCGTGGACCCGACGGCCTCATTGGCGGTGTTCGCATGCGTCCCCGCCACCCGCTGGAGAGGCGGCCACTCTGGCGCTGGTGGTGCCGCACCAGTGCGGCTCGGCAGAATCGGGCACACAGAGCTGGCAGCGAGGGTCCGTCAGGGCAGCGGGGAGCCAGCGGCCACCCCCGGCGAAGCGCGCTGCTTGCGGGGGAGGGGCGCCCGGACCGCCTGGGGCTGCAACCCAACGGAAGAGACGTCTTCTGCTGCCTGCACCGGCGCCTCCTGGAGCGAGAGCTGAACCTCCCGGAGGGCACTTCCTGAAGTGGAGGAACAACACAACGACACGAACAAACGCCTGGCGCAGGGGAGGGTGGCCCGGCGCAGATGCAAGAAATCAGCGCCAACCTGCGAGCGTTTATGTTCATGCCGTTGCTTCTTCTTCGGGAAAATCGTTTTCCATCAAGCTTGCGCAGGCACCCGTTGGCCACAAGAGGGGTCGTACGCGCAAGGTGGCGACGTATGCAAGTGTCACCCCTCATCGGCGGAGCCCTTGCACCGCCCCACGGCGCATGCACGACATGGCGTGGCGCAGCCTTGATCAGTCGCCCTCTTGCCGGCGCCACCGGTTAGTCCCGGCTGGCCTCAACAGGTCCCTCCGAGCAGTGAGAGCTGGCCTCAGCAGGCCCCTCGAGTAGCCCAGGGCGGTCTCTCTCAACACCCCAACCCTGGGGCCCAGCGGCGCCAAGGTGTTGAGACCGCCCCGGACTGCTCGGGGGGACGACAAAAAATCCAGCACGCCGTGAACCCCTGTGGCAAGCCAACAAGGGGGGAGGCGGATCGAGGATGGCCACGGCGAATCGCCGCCGCCCCCTGCCTTTTTTGGAAGCGCCCCTGTGGCCGAACTTTTGTGGCGAGAGCTTGGCCACGCTATCGGACTGCGTTTTCCCCAGCCGCTCTGGAAACTCTTCGGGGAACACTCGGCCTCCTGAGAAGCTTTCGAAGCCAGGAGGAGGAGGAGGAGGAGGAGGAGGAGGAGGAGGAGGAGGAGGAGGAGGAGGAGGGGAGGGGGAGGAGGAGGAGGACAAGCTAGGTGCGCTCGCGTCATATCTGACGTCCTGCCCCTCTCTCCCATCTCTTAACATTGCGTAGGTCTCCCTTCTATTGGCACAATCGGGTGTTGTAGCATGGCATAGCATTACATGGCATAGCATGATGTTGAATATCAACGCGTAGCATGACATAGAATGGCGTGGCGACGCCCCCAAATGGGGGTGTGTGTGGGGGGGGCGGGGCTTTTACGCGGCCCAAGAAATCGGCGAATCGACACCGAATGAATGTGTAATCACTTCCGATGGTTCTTTCGGGAGGCCCTTTCCTAGATTTTGGGG